AAAAAAAATAAAAAAAAATTATTTTAAGGCATCAAATTTCAAATAGACACAAGTCACACAAGTCACAACTATAGCCAAACGCTAATGGACAAAAATCTCCAACATGTGGATTCATTTTTTGACTTACTGTTATTTTCTTTTTGACTGATCGACCACACTGTGAAACACAGAACACATTTTAACACATTACTGTCACAAAAAAATTCACACAAGCTCGATCAAATCAATTCTCGACTCGAATTTTCTAACGCATTTTTTCACGAGCACTTGAATCCATCAGACCTCCATCGCCGAGGATCTCCTTGCTCGGAAAACCGATCACCATGGTCGGAAAATTACTGTCAGTACTATTGATTTCCTTCCTTTCGTGCGTCGTTCTGTGCGCCTCCTTCTCCGAGGAGAACCCCACCGATCGCCGGGTTTTAGTCCTGCTCGACGATCTCGCTATTAAATCTTCGCACTCCGTTTTCTTCGATTCGCTCGGAGCGCGAGGGTACGACCTAGATTTCAAGCTCGCGGACGATCCCAAGCTCGCATTGAAGAGATACGGACAGTATCTGTACGACGCCGTCATCGTCTTCTCCCCTAATGTCGAACGTAAGTGAACACGATCATACACTTCGGTTGGTGGAAGATTTTACCCATCGCTCTGTAAAATTGTTTTAAACTGATGTTTTCATGTGTTGTGCTGTGGAAATTAGGGTTCGGTGGATCTGTGGATGCTGCGTCGTTGTTAGAATTTGTTGATTCTGGACGTGATATGATTCTTGCTGCTGATAAGTCAGCTTCTGAATTGATTCGGGAGATTGCTGTTGAGTGTGGGGTTGACTTTGATGAGGTGGAGTTCTGGCTGTTTTTGAGTTTCTTGTTTCTGATTTGGTTGTCATTCGAATATTGCCCGGTTGTATCTTGAAAGAGGGTTTAATGTTAACCGTTTTACTTATAGGATCCAGCATCTATGGTAATTGATCACACGAGCTATGCAGTTTCGGAGACGGAGGGGGATCATACCTTGCTCGCCAGTGATGATTTCATTCAGTCCGAGGTTATTTTGGGCAGCAAGAAAATAGAGGTAATATTTTCAGGTGTTTTCTGAGTTAGGTGTTCAGCTGCGTCAATAGCTGACACTGGAGTGACATATTTATATCCTAGATTACCTGCTCATCAACTATTAGTAACTTTTGGATCCTTGTAGATTGAAATGCTTTGATTTTAGTGGCTAAGGTGTTTGTTAACTATTCAATTTTACTTTCTTTTTCAGTACTGACTGTCTTTTGCCCAAGGAAAATTGATCAACTATTTGGTGACTATCTTTGTAGGCAAGTTGAGTCGAAGGAAAATGAAACAAACAACGAAAATGTTTAATTTCTACTACCACTGTACCACATATTCTCATGGAAAAGAAAGTTAACTATCTTCGGGAATTAATTTATTGGTGACTTTAGGCTCTCTTTGATCCTTTTTGTAAATTCTATTACAGGCTCCCGTGCTTTTTAAGGGCATTGGCCATTCAATAAATCCTGCAAACAACCTGGTAATATATTATTTATTTAGTGCGAAATCTGCACGTATTGATCTAAATATTATAATGTTCCAGAACTAGAATGATATTTGTAGCCTACTTTATTTTTCAGGTGCTAAAAGTTCTATCTGCTTCTCCCGCTGCGTACTCAGCCAATCCGAAATCTATGTTATCAACTGCTCCTACTTTGACTGCGTCAGGGATCTCATTAGTTTCAATCGTTCAGGTATTTCAATTCAGCCAATGTTCCATCCTGTAGATCTTTGGTACATTTGCTGATAATTCATTTGTAATCCCTTTATAATTTGATAACTCTTTTTCGTCTCCAGGCAAGAAACAATGCTCGGATTCTAATATCTGGCTCGCTGAGCATGTTCAGCAACAGGTAGATTGATATTTGTCGCTGTGGTTGTTTTGGTTATGCTGTAATGTAATTAACTATGTTTTTTGCATTAAGGTTCTTCCGGTCTGGAGTACAGAAAGCTGGAACTGCAAACAAGTGAGTGAATTGCAACTGTAGTTGCTTGGATCTGGCTTTCTCTCGTTCTGCTTCTTTTTTCGCCGCATGTGTGTTTGTTTGGTTATGCAATATCTTTGTCATAAGTACACATCACGACTGCTGTCCTGATTGTCTCTGAGACTCTGCTTCAAATTCCCTCCATTATATTGAACATATATTTTTTTATGATGTGGTAATGTCTTGCACACTTCTTTCTATGAAAACAAAATGACAACCACATTATGTGTTAAACAACAGACACGAGAAAAGTGGGAATGAACAATTTTTGACCGAACTTAGCAAATGGGTTTTCCACGAAAGAGGTCACCTCAAGGTTTGTTTTTCCTCTGAAGCTCTTTGATCTCATGTTATGAACATATGTCATTATATTTTTTTTTTTCAAAAAATAAAAACTTATGGCTAACTAGTCATCTCTTGGGCTCTCTATTATTAATGGCGCTGCATTGCTATAATCGGTTTCCACTAGCCTCAACACCCTCAATTTCTGTGGAATTATATTTTTTAAGTTTATTGGTTGCCCGGCCTTTATAATATTTTTTGCCCATGTTTTCAGGCTGTGAATGTAAAACACCACAAAGCTGGTCTAAAAGATGAACCCTCAATGTATAGGATCAAAGATGACCTGGTAATAATCTGTTCCGATGCATGCCAATAAAATAAGTGACTGGATTCTGTTGTTTGAACTTAAGTTTATTTGACATTTTAATTTTGTTGAAGGAATACTCTGTTGAAGTATACGAATGGTCTGGTAAGAGTTGGGAACCGTACGTGGCTGATGATCTGCAAGTTCAGTTTTACATGATGAGTCCATATGTTTTGAAAACTCTATCTACTGATCAGAAGGTGGTAGTTTTACTCATTTAAGAATTTGACACGTCCCTGTAATGCAGTGTTATCGAATTTGGACCATCTATTGAATAATAATGGTTGACAAAATATACACATAGCAAGATCTTGTGGTTTTACGCATCACATCAACTTTAACGTCAACAATTCCTGCTCTTACACATCATTTATGCCATCCATTATGTCAAAATATTATGTTAAAGTAGCTTTATTCATCGACTTTCTGCCAGCAGTATGGCAGCGCCTCAGGCCACCCTGTGGCAGCCGCTATTGCAGTATTCCGACCTGCTGCCATTTTCACCCATCTGCCATATCGATAACACTGCTGTAGTGTTTTACTGTCCCATCATTTATGTTGTGCCTTTTTTCTCAACTTCTTTTTATCCATTCTCTGCAGGGCCTTTATTATACATCTTTCAAGGTTCCAGATGTCTATGGTGTTTTCCAGTTCAAGGTTGAGTATCAGAGACTTGGGTATACAAGCTTAAGTCTAGCAAAGCAGGTAATTCACTGTCCTTATGGCAACAATATTTATGTTTATATTGTTCTCCATTTCACATGGAGCTCTTGTATTTAATTATATTATTACTGTATTTTTTTCTCAGTATTTTCCTGCATATCCAACTCAACTTCAATCAAAAATTGCTGCGAAAATATTCTACTTAACCACATTCAAGATTCTCATATATGAAGGAGAAAGTATTAACCTGTTAGATGCTTTGTGACTAATAATATAAAAATTTGCTCGTAGCACCATACTTATGCTGCAAAGTCACTTTAGAACAAAAAAAAAAAAAATAAAAAAATATCATTTACACTGATCTTTATGGTGCAAATTGAACTAAACGTGTTCAATCCACATTCAGTGTTATAATCCGTATCTGTGTTGGCATTTCTTTGAATGTCTATTGTATGTTGTTGAAATCTCTTATGTAGTTATTTTGTAAGAAAGCGGTGATACGAGAAATTAGTTTCAAGAGATTCCAATCTACGTTATAATAAGTATGCAATCCGCTTTCATGTGCTCAGATCATACTAATGATTGACTTGTTTGCTCAAGTGTATGTTTCATGTTATTTTGCTTGTCACGAACAATTCATGTTATTTTGCTTGTAATGAACAATTCCAATCTAACTAGTCTGAAAATTGCTTCTGCTGAATTTTACAATTTGCAGATTCCAGTTCGACCCTTCAGACATAATGAGTATGAAAGATTTATAACTGCTGCTTATCCCTATTATGGAGCATCATTCTCGATGGTAGCTCCCTATCTCAATTTTCGCACCTCCTTTCTCTTTTCTCAAACTTTGCTGCTACTGTTTTATCAACCGTCATTGTTTTAGTTTTTTAGTTCTTGGATATCGCAAATCTTCCCTCTTTGACTTCTGCAACCGAAATTTCTGAACCCATAACACCTATTGAACACTCATCACTTTATATGTTGATTTATTTATTTATTTTCTTGACCCAATCACATGAAACTATTGTGAAGTGACTTATTATGGAGATTGTAATGAAATTTTGTTTTCCATGATGTTCCCTTTCCCTATAGTTTCGTAGTCATGTTTTAATTGTGATTGCCCTAGCTAGACTCGTTTAATTGGTGAAAGTTGCTTTAGGGCCCCTTGTTGTCTGCCTATGACTGCGGATGTACCCTTTTTTTGCAGCTAAAGCGTCTATTCGAATATATTTATTCAAGTTTGTGAAAACAAATTAGTAGCTTGGTTTTGTTTTCATCATCAAAACATATTTCTACGGGGATGGTGTAATAATTTAAGCTGGGCTGTTTTCACTTGATTTTTCCCATTCGTTTTTTTTAACCATCCATTATGTGAAGCTAAAATAAGAATGAGTTCATCTCCATAGAGGTTATCTGATTTGTTGGCTGGGGGAGAGAGCTCAGCTGATTCTGAATCAATCCAAGCATTTTATTTTATTGCAGTTAACAATTCAATTGCTCGAACTGTAGGTGTGGTGTGTGTGTTTTCGCATAGGTTTCTTGTTATTCAATGGCTAATTCTTATTTTTCGAGCTCTTTGCTTTAAATTTCATTGTTGGCATATATTGAGCACTCATCATTTTATGAACTTTGATTGACAATGCAGATGGCTGGGTTCTTTGTCTTCACCGTGGTGTATCTGTACACGAAGTAGCTGCAAATTCGCCGGACACCTATGACTGAGTATGCATGTCGTGCCTGATTTTGGTAATACGACTAGGGAATACATTTACTGAAAACCTATAATCTAGAGCAGCTAGGCCCAAAAAATTCGAGAAACACTTTTTTTTTTCCTTCCAAATAAAGTAGGAAAATAGAAAAAAGAAACTTCACTTCTTCAGCAGACTGTCGTATTCTTGCTTAATAGGACGTGAGGTGAGTACAATCGATGAGACTTTGGACGAACTTCTGTGTAGACTTTATTTATGTACCTTCATTTTCAAAAGACAATGCATTTGATATATTGTTAGAAGGTATAAGAAAAGGTGAATTTTGTTTGAACATAAATCAGTCCTTATTAGCAAACCCTAGGGCATTTAATGCATTTCATCCGTGAATCTTATTATTATTATTATTATGCAAGCTCGACTAGAAGGGAGGAAGAGTGGAAGCTCGAGAGGACATCCGTTCTCTCAACATATCATCATCATCATCATCATCATCATCATCATCATCATCATAGCCCTTATTTGCCATTGCAATCTCCATGGATGAGAATGTGGCCATTAGTATTTTCATATTTTGTATCATAGCTATAATAATGGCCAACTTGCTAGTGTTTGTTTAGGTAGTCATATATATAAAGAAGAGATATCTTTTTGAAAATTGCTGATAAAAAAAGGTGTATAATTAAAAAAGCAACCGTTTGTTTATTTTCGCATGTTATGGGGTCTCATGTAGAAGATGTGGGAGATATTTTTTCTGGATTTTTTTTATAGAATTTTTAGTTGAATACTGTGCATCATTTTCTACGCGTAAATAATAATTTCGACGTAATGTTAATTATTTTAGTAGAGCATCATATGAGAGCATCATATGAGTATTATTTACGACGTAATGTTAATTATTTTAGTAGAGCATCATATGAGAGCATCATATGAGTGTGTGTACATTATTGTGTACGTATAGCATTTCTTGAATTATTTAATTTAATACTATGTTTCTTTACCAATGTCCGAATGTTAATTAAAAGGGAACGTGATAAAGGTCCGTGACATTTTCCAGACACAAGTGTAGTTCCACTATGGAGGTTGGCTCAACTATGGAGCTAACTGTTGCATCATAGCAAAACCGAGATTAGATATACCTTTTCCTTTAACAACAATGTTCCAAATATATCTCAAGTTTTCAAAGGCCAAAAAAATGAACTGCATGATGTAAAATAGGTAAAAGGCATATCTCAAATTCATAATGTGCCTTAATACATTTCTACAGCAGTTAATTACACATAATCCTTCAATCTTCAATCCGATGATGATAATAAGCTAAGCCCACTGTATCAACAAGTCCCACTACCACACTCTCATATGATCATCCTGTGTGAAAAGTAAATTAAATTAAATTAAATCAAATTAAATACCCCAAGTGAATTTGAAAGGCAAATCAGGATGATAATACTCACCTCACAAGGACCAGGCATGATATGAGTTCGAAGTCAAATAACCGAACTGAGTGCATAATTTTGAATCACTTCTTAGGCGGGAGTTTTAGTAGCTTTATCATTTCATAAGTTCTCACATCTCTACCAGAGTAAAGACAAAGATCTAAGGCAGTGCATCCGTTCTGAGAAAAAGGTTGAAAGAAAAAGTTAATTAAATGTTTATATTGTACGCTTAATACGATACGTCGATCTAAATGTTTCGAATCTATACAAACTCAAGCATATCGTGGGACAATAATAATGTAACAGTGCCCAAAAACATAAACTACAAATTCACTTGCTGGTTAAATTTGCTGGTTGTGAATGAAAATCGTTTCACGATTTGAAAAAAAAAATGATTCTTAAGTTGGTATAATCATTTCATAAACATTAATAGCCATGTTTTAAAGCCAGAACCAGATGGATCAAATTTAAGCTAGGATCTTTCGAGATATTCAAAGCTGGCCCAAATTGATGAGAAAGAATTAAAACATCTTACCCTGTTCTTTAGTGATTTATCAGCTCCCTTGATGAGCAACAGCCTTATCACGTCTGTTCTACGGGATTGCACAGCCAGATGCAGTGGTGTCCACCCTTCCTAATAAGTAATAAGAGGAGCTTAAATTGATCAAAAGTGCACCAAACGCGCAAATATGTCCAAGTAAGTTATTAATGATCTAGCTTTGATAGGGCTTACATTGTCTTGAAGATTTATGTCCACATTGTACAATAAAAGGATTTTTATCATCGGAGTTGAAGCCGCAAAAACAGCATAGTGCATTAAGGTTGCTCCATCCTGTCATTTCCGAGGAGGAAAAGAAAAAATAGAGACTCAAAATGTGATTGTAAAGTCAAAAGAATAACCCGCCTTATTGACGCTAGGTGAGCTGATATGAAAAACTGAAAAATAAGTCATATCCTTAATATTCTAATTAGGTAATAGCGAAAAAAAAGGAGCAAATTCTATTCCATTTAATAATGAAAAATAGCCAGAGAACCCATGAGAAGCATTTTAGCAACACAAAAACTGAAAATGTTACGAATTGGTTAATCAAATATTGGCATGATGAATTTAGCTTCTTCTTCTTCTTTTTTTTTTCGATATATAACATGTCATATCACAGAACATTGTATGAATTAAAAACAGCAAGTGAAATCTACCAGCAACGAAGTAGATAACTTACATTATCACGAACAAACGGGTTTGCTGATTCTCTCAAAAGAAAATTAAAAACAGCCTGCTTTTTGCCAAGTATTGCTCTGTGCACAGGTGTCAATCCATTCTGTAGGAGAATGTATCAAGAACAACTTAATAAAATTCGCTACAAGTTATATTGGACAGGCTTTCTAGTATTCAACACATGGAGATGAAAATATTAAAATACACATAAATTGTAGGCCTCAGTAAAACTCACCATGTCAAGGGTATTGATATCGAGGTTGTGTTTCAACAAGGAGTTCACAAGGTAAAATTCCCCACAGGCAGCAAGAGTGTGAAGGGGGTTCCATTTTCCCTGTTTGGGAAAAAAATTAAATAAGAAAAACGAGAAGGAAGCAACAGACAGCAGCAGTATAACTATAATCTATTATATTCCAAATGATACAACCCTATACTCAATATGCTAACAAATGGCAAGAGACACCAAGAAAAGTAGTGTGCCTCATGGCAAACAAAGCAAACAACCTTTATCATATACAAGAAACTTACTGAGGTGGCAACTGTTAAATCAGGAACCCGCCGATTCAGTAATGCCTTTTCCTCTTTCGAGAATAATTTACGAGGACCTATTGACAATTTTTTTAGTAAAGACGATAGATATTAGAACAATCTGCAGAGATATGGGAGAATAAGACGAAATAATATAAGCACTACATTGCATCTGATGCACATTCCTTTTCCCACCCAAACTCAAGTAGAGTAGTCTTCGGCTCTTTGCAAACATTTATTTTACTCTACAATTACGCTCCATATAGTCTAAGAGTCATGTTTTTTAACATATGGTAGCTCACTGAGAAGAACCATAGCATTGGTATCATGACTGCCGATTAAAGAGTTATTAACTTGTTATACGATATATCAAATAAAAGAGCTTATCACCCTCAACTTCAAGGTCAAACATCTTTCTATTTGTGCACAGCTGAAAATTCCAAAATGTGCACAAAGAACTGAAAATGGCGAAGTACAATTCACCAAACAAGGGGAATACTATCAACGACACGAAGTGCACAGCACAAATATACTCAATCACATATAAGAAAACAACATTACATATAAATTTCACATAGACAGCATCAGATTCACTTCAATTGCCAGGTAAATATAAAAAAAGAAAGAAAAAAAGAGGCTATCAGGTGGATAATACCTTGTGATTTTTCACCCGTGCCAGGTTCGTAGCTCTCGCTATTGAAAACTGCCGATACATCTTCCAAACCCCCTCCGTACACAGCCCAACGAGGGTTTCTCGGCGCCACTCTACTCTCCGCCACCTCGTACTCCTCGCCCTTATTCTCCTCCGGCCCTTTAGGTGCTTCCAACTCCGGCATGTCGAGCACCAGCGGCTTCAGCTGCCGGAGCTTTTCGGTCTTGAACCTCTCGTACTCCTCGTCCGAGTACAGAGGCTGCAGGGCCTGCCTCCGCTTCTCCACCCTTTTCCCGTACTCCAGCTGCTGCGAGAGCTTGCGCCTCTCCTTCTTCGATATGTTTATCTCTCTTTGCACGTCCACCCACTCCTCCGG